GAAAATAAAAGTGAGATAAGGGAAATAATACGATTTATCTACGCATTTATATGTTGTAAAAAAGTCACAAAATTTCACGAAGCTGCGACTTCAAATACATAGTTTTTTTTATTTGAAAATGGAAAACATGTTGTAAAATGACATCAACAGTCAAATTAAACTGACTGCGCCCGTCTTTCTAGTGTTAACGCCAATATACATTATGACATACACTTATAGAAACTAATAGTGGACCTTTTTACCTGCGGATCTTCAAACCCCGCTCACACAGTAGATTATGTTAAACAACGCCTAAACAAATATTGTTTTCGCAATTTACTCATCTTGTAATTGTGTTTGAAGAACTTCATGTAATTAAAATTAACATACATTCATTAACTGCTTGTATTTTTTCACAGTTTCGCTGACGATATAATCTCATTCTTTGAACAGCTGTAATACCTGCCTTGCCTAAAAAATATTTTCCATTTTAATACGATAATGTAGAAATAATTTCTAATCAATAAACTTACGTTTAGTACACGGCACAGATGTTTAATTTGTTTTATTATTTTCAAGGAACAGGGAGAAATATTTTTCTTCAGGCATTTTCATTAAATCAAGATTTGTACTATGATGTAACTTTAAAATGTTTATTTATCTATACCGATTTCCTTTTTGATATCGGTACGCATATAACGTTGATGCAGGTGCGCATACAACGACAAATCTCTATTCACATACACGACGACTAATCACAATCGATCGAATAACGTACAATTCGGGTGTAACGCTATTTCCGTTGCATTTTAGATTTACACCCTAGTCGCGCCTAAAGAAGTTTTACTTTAAAAATATGTATTTTTTTAATCGATTCAAGTTAGGGGAAAGCTAGGTAAAACATTTGTAAACATCTGAGAGTGTCATTGTTCAGAAAATTCCAAACATTTTTTTATTTATTATAAAATTGATTTTTAATATGGTAAAAAAAAAAATACTGATCCGATCAGCACAGCTGGAGATAATTAATTTAATGCAGAATATGTTCATAAAAATTGAGCAAACATCCATATTTTAATTGTAATCATTTACGTAATTTTCTTTTCTCTGCAAAATCCAGAATACGTGTCAAGTGATTTTATCTAATATCTGCAAAAAAAAAAAAATCAAACCATAATTCTAAAATGTGACATTTTATTTTTCGAAAGTTCGTGCGATTTGTAAAAGAATGAACCATATTTGTTTTAAATTAATTTAATTTAGTTCTCAAATATATTTACTGTTTTAAATCAAGTCAAATGAAATAAGTTGATTGCGTTTTAAAATTTCTTCTTTTTTGCTTTTGATACCACTCAATAACGATAAGATAATTGCATACCACTCTAGTCTATTTTAAGAACAAATGCAATATTTTTCAATAGATAAAATGTTCAATATATGGGTATATCATAATAATATAATAAAAAAGTTTATTCAGAAATTATATTTTATTTCCAAAAATAAAACAATTTCATTGAGAGTTTATACAACTTGTCTACATTTTTTCTAACAAATTTTATTTTATTCCTGCTTACGGTTTCAATAAACCTTTTTACGTCAGGATGTGAAACTTTTGCATAAACGCCTGGTTTTCCTGCTAAAGCAGCCTTCGCCCCAAGACACAATTCCGACCTGAACCCTATTTTCATCCACTACAGGCCCACCGCTATCTCCTTGACACGAGTCCTTTCCGCCTCAGGGAAACCAGCGCAAAACATGCTGAAATAAAAGATTTTACATTTACAACAAACGGGATTTTGACCTTGGGAACGAGATTTAATGATATCTTAAATGCAGCATATTTTGTTTCGACAATTATATACAAAGTACTAGAGATGGCTTTATCATATCCGAAGCCGGATCGGTTTATAATTGACTCCGTTTAGGGAGGAGTTATATCCGCTTAACAACTCCACGACTACGACAATTTTGAAACCGATATACTCGACCCGTTGTTTATGTATCTTAAGATTTGTCAAATCCCATTAATTATTTGAAATTCTTTTATGAACAGTTCAAACTTATTTGTTGATATTATTATAAAAAGTCACGATTTTAAGCATTTCTATATGCTTGCAAATCCCAAGTGGCATGCTGAAAGTGAAGAATATTTTGAATTATCAAGAAAATAAACTTAGAATAAAAATAAAATTTTCTTTTCATAAAAAAATAGATTTTTTGGATTAATTTTATATAAAAATAATGTAGTAAATTTTGTAATATAAGCAAAAACATTTATCATAAAATATTTTCACCAAATAATAATACTTCTGCTT